TTAATCATGTTTCAGTTATTGAGGTTTGATTTATATATTTGTTAGCAATGAAAGTGCTCCTAATGGAGGAAAACTTATGTTTTTAATGTAGTTTAACCAAAAAAATATTGCTTAATTTCAATTGGGTGTGCTTATTTTATTATTATTATTTGTGTGCGCGTGTTTTGTTTTGGTTTGATTTTTGCCACCTCTATTGTATTGCACAACTTGCTGGCACTAATGAGTCCACAGACTTAACTATCGCTTCTGAGTGCTTGATTGTCCAGTTGAATTCTAGCCAAGTAATCATTTTAGAGGCATTAGTATTAGTGTTCTAATTTCTAATTTTATGGTAGGTTTATCATTTCCTTCTCGTATTTTGACCTGACTTAGATTATATGTGATACTCTATCTAGACCTCTTAACTCACAATGAATAAACCGTTCAATTAATTGGCATGTATCCTTTAGTGATAAGTTGTTATTTCCTTTTTATAGCTCTAATAGCTTGCCATTGTGTAGCGTCCTTTCTATGAACGATGGAAGATGCTTGAGAAAGAAGTGATTGAACCTCGCAATTATGAGCGCCAGAATATTTACCAAAGCAGAAACCTTCATTACAGATATGACCTAGAGCCATTTAGGGTGTGTATCCATACTTTCTTGTTATGCTTTTTCTTCTGGATGTGGCTATTTGATTCAACATAAATTACTCATTAGGTGAGGAGGAAAGACTTTTGGTTGCTCTCTACAGTTACCAAACTTTTGAAGGAGTTCATACCGAGGCTTTCACATGATGCCGATGGTCTAATATTTCAGGTAGTTGATTTTTTAGTAAATAAAATATGAACTGACCTTCTCATTTTTTATAGGACTTGAACCATCTTTTATTCCAGGAAACTTTGATACTAAGTACTATTTCTCAAAGTTTACAAGCGTATAATCTCTTGTGGCATCTCTATTTAATCGCATTGTTTCTCTATGCTTAAATATTGGTTTTATACTCTGTTTTCTGTTTGTGGCTAGCATTGGGGAAGTTTACTTTTTAGGGAAACAATAAATTTATACCCTTAAAATTGGAAAGTGACTCAAATAAAATCTTAAACAAATAATTCTATCATAATTGAAATCAACTCTATAATTGAATAATCTAGACTTGATCTCATTTGGAATCAACTCAATATTACCTAATTAATAATATTATTCTTTCAAAATCCTAAGCAAGAATAATTATCATGTAATTCTTATTAAACAAGTAAATAAAAGTAAAAGAAGAAAAGATGCAAACAACTCATATTAATGAAATTCACTACTATTCACTTGATTCCCAACATTTTCCTCTATTGCTGCATTAATGCCTTCAGTTAAGAAGTGTTGAACTCATACAAATTATGCATTTACAATTTATTAAAAAAATTTGAGCATTGGGTCTAAATTGATTCTTCATGGAAGTTCAGGTTTTAATTGATTCAATTATTAGTTTAGAGCTTTAATTGTTTTAACCTACAATGTTTAGGGGTTCAAATTGACATTGTCCCTACCTTTTATTTAGAGATTTGTTATCATCATTTGTTGCACTAAAATGTTTTTCTTTTCTAGGGGTGGGATGATGCTTATGTTCCTCGAACTCATGAGGGTCTTTTGAAGTGGAAATATCCTGAAATGAACTCAGTCGACTTCCTATTTGAGGTTGTAAGTAATTTCTTTAGAATTGAATTTGATATCTGCAGCTGAAGTTGACGGTGAAGTAATTTTAAATTATTTGTCTGGACAGTTGGGTGAAGATGATTCTCAGATTCTTATTTTGTTCGAACGTGGAAAGAGGAAAACGATGGATGGAAATAGGGTTAAGTTCAAAGGTTGATGCAAATAGTTTTGCCTCTTTGTCTCTCAACTTGTTCTCTTTGCATTAGTCAGTTAAATCATTTTTAATTATCTGTATGTTTATTGGCCACTAAAATGAACATTTACATCCAATTGTGGACAGCTGCAAAATTTGTGTGAAGAAAATATCATCTTGATTGTCAAGGACTTAGGGTATGAAGTAAAATTACTTCTGAGGTCCTTTCAGGGGCTTATAGATCGAACAAAGTATTAAATTATTGTGTGTGAAGAGATTTATTGAAGAGTTTGTGCGAGTCTGATCTGCCTTCTAAGTTGAACCTGCTGGACAGATCATGAAACAAATTCTTTCATTAAGTTGAACCCGCTTGACAAAACTTTACTGCTAGCGTTGGCTAGAAGTTGCCACACAATCTAACGACTATAAAACTTTCTTCTCTCCCATTGCATTGCCTCTTAAACTACTGGATTGTGTTACAATGAGTTCATAAATCCACATTCGTACTCATTTATCTTTTTGTAGTTGCTACTGGGATTACGTAGCTGAATGTCGGTTGGTTGAGTAATTGGGATTTGATGATCACATGCTCTTGCATATGTGGATAATTCTGACCGCAAGCTATGCTTCGCAACTATATTCTCAAGGTTGCATAATTTATGCAAAAATTCCAGGATAACCAGAAGGTCATTTGGTTTAAAATCCTTGAGTTTGTTGCATGGTATTCTACTTTTGACAGGAAATATTGTAAGATCAGTTAATAGTCTCCAGTTTCAAATCTCCTAGAAGGTTGAAGAAATTTTGTCATATAAGAACATGCTGGCATGGACTGTCTTAATAAATTATCTATAAAAAAGTGGATCATCTGGAAATAATACATGATATTGTTTTGCTTTTGAGCAACATGGGCACACTGTTATATCAGATGTTACATTCATGTGTTCTTGATAGTCTGGGGATGAATACTTATATATATAGTCTTTAGTGTATATTCTTTCAAATCTTATTTTTAAGTTTTTGCAGATGGCGATCCCTCCTTTTATTCAGGAAAGATTGTTGAGTGTTCTTGGGATTCTGATGAGCAAGTATGGGTCTGCATGCGTATCAGGACAGACAAAACAACTCCTAATGATTTCAATACTTACAAAAAGGTTCCTTTACTGCCAAATTGATACAAAGCTTTGCTGATAGTTAAAAAAAAAAAAAAAAAAACCCTGCATCAACTAATACTGCTTGATATTTGAACCAGGTCATGCGCAGCATTAGAGACAATATCACGGAGGAGGATTTGTTGAAGGAGATTCACGAGATAATACGCTTGCCCATGTATGCTGATAGGATAAGGAATGATAGTAAAGCGGCTCAACATACGAATTCAACACGACGGAGGTGATAGCTAGACAGACGTGTGCCCAAATACAGAAATTAGGCAGTATTAGTTGGTAATCTTTGGATGAAATTGCTGAAAAGGTGTTCCCCACATGTTTTGCTTGCTTGCTTGTTCAATCTGTTGCCAGCTTTATGATGTCTCTCCTTGGTAGAATTGTGCATATATATTATTAAAAAGGGTGACCCAGATATCCACCATTAGCTTCTCCTTGTACTATCCTTTAGTTTGTGGTGCAGGGCTGGCGAGTTGTATGATCCAGTTATTGCACTTGATAGATGTCTTCAAAATTAGGGCTTTGAAATTCATTTCTTCCTAGTTTTCCAGGTGAGGAGATGTAGGATTAGGATCCATCATGTATATTAGTATTTTTCTTTTGGTCATTTAGGAATTATTGCTAAGCACAGCAACTAAGGCAGTCATTTTAAGTAAATCTGAGCCATTTTACTGTTGTGAATAGCAGCCTTTACTCGTAATGAACATGTCTGTGTACTTCTGCTTTGTTTTGGCCTCTTTTTCCCTACACCTTTATTTTGAGCTAAGTTCTTGAGGCTGAGAATAAGAACAAGAGCTATGGATATTGTTTCATAGCCTGTTGTCTTTGTATTCCCGAACCGGTTCGTTACAGTTTCTATACGCAATAATGGTCAAAAGGGCATCTTCTTCTACTGGAAAGGAAACTGTAAATTCCATTCATATGTTGGAGTTTGTTTATGTGAGATCCCACGTTGGTTGGAGAGGAAAACGAACATTCTTAAGGGTGTGAGAACTTCACCCTAGTAGACGTGAAGGATGTGGAAACCCCTTCCTTGAGGATGCATTTTAAAATTGTGAGGGGAAGTCTAGAAAGGAAAGCTTAAAGAGGAAGAGGAAAATATCTGCATGTTGTGAGCTTATGATATTGCTTGAATTTTGCTATTCAAATGGAAAATGTAAGTTCCAGTCACATCCAAATTCACTTTTGTGACGAACCATTCACATGACGGTCCATTAGCTAGTTAAGGGTCTTTATTCATTTTGTTTACATTGTGTAGTAAAATTTTTAATAGAATGGAAGATATGTCAGGTTCTTTCATGCACATTTTCAATGTCTAGTATTTTCATTCTTTTAGAAACTACGTGTCGTTCAATCAAATTTACAATCTTTACGAGCATTTTCAATAAAGTTTGTATCATGCAAAAATAATACAAATTAGTCTATGATTCTCAACCTGCCATACCATATTTTAGCTAACAATTTTAATAGCATATATTCTTATTCATTTTGTAATTTAGAAAATTCTAAATAGATGATAAACACTTAAAAGAGAGGAAGCTCATTTTGGCCATTGGGTATCTTATATACTTTAAACTCAAATCTCAACGATAAAAATGTATACTTCGTTAAATAATTTACTTTTATATTTTTAGTTCTCAAAGTTTGTACGTTAAAAAAATTGTTTTTGTGATATAAATTTTATTTACTTTTAACTAAAAAAAAGTTTATCTCCATCTGATAATAATTTAATTTTTTATTTATTTATGAAGATAGCAAGAACAATTACATTTAAGCTAATATATAAATTTTAAAAATGTCTAATATATTATATATATTTTTATTTTGTTTATAATAGACCTATCATAAATTTAATTGTTTAAAAAATTAATGATATAAATTTAAATTTTATGGTTATTCAAACTCTAAAATTTAAAAAATTTGAAAGACTAGATTATTTTAAAGTTAAGAGATTATATAGATAGGAATTTTAAATTTTAATTACTAATTTATATCCTAAGAAGGTTAATTTTTCGAGAATAAAAATCTTAATTTCAGTTAACGAGAACCATATTAATATAATGTCTATAATTTTCATTCTACAATCTTTTCATGTCAGACCGGCAGAGCAAAGACGCCACTGCAGTTACGCAGATCCTCCCATCTGCACATCCTCTGAATTTGCATTGTTCTTGCGTCGACTTTGAATTTTCGATTCTTTCTGTCGTTCCTTAGGTGAGGGCGGACACATGAAATTCTCCGTGATTTTTCTTTTGATTTGTTTAATTCTCTTTGCTCGGTCGAAATGCGTTCACGGTGAAGAGGCCAAGGAAAACAAACTTCGGGAGCGAGAAGCCTCCGATGATGTCCTTGGATATCCTGAGATGTAAGTTGTGTTCTGCTGTTTCATCTTTTCATTTTCGTCTTGAGGAACCTGCAGTTAGTCTAGTTGTTTATTTGTCTTGTCATGGATTTGTAAGGTTAAATCGCAATTGAGATTTTTACGAGAAATGATTCGTTTGATTTCAAATTTTGACACATTTTTTTTTTAAAAAAACGTTCGATCTTTGGTTAGAGACGAGGATGCTTTGTTGAATACACAATGTCCAAAGAATTTGGAGCTAAGATGGCAAACGGAAGTGAGTTCTAGCATATATGCCACGCCCTTGATCGCTGATGTTAACAGGTATAGTAAGCCTCTCATTATACATTCCTTATGACGTGAAGCTTAGCCAATGTGTTAAGGATTTCTGGGAGTTTTAATGCTGTCACTCTTTACATTTGGGGCGCAACCTCTTTACTTAAGCTTTAGTTTTTAGTTTATCTGTTTTACAGTGATGGGAAACTTGAGATAGTGGTTCCATCTTTTGTTCACTACCTTGAAGTTCTTGAAGGATCTGATGGAGATAAAATGCCAGGTAAAAGTTGTTCTTGAAGGATCTCTTATCGATGATATCTTCATATGCTTTATACCGTAGCTTAAACAGTGATCTATGTTTTAAAATGAAAAAGGCTGAGTTGTGAAAAATATTGCATTAACATGGAAAGCTTTGGAGAGCATTAGCTGTGCATTGTATTTGATAAAGCAACTCATTAGTCAAAAGACTCAAAACTATGCATGTTCGATTAGGCTGGCCTGCTTTTCATCAATCAACTGTGCACGCTAGTCCTCTTCTATATGATATTGACAAAGATGGTATGAGGGAAATAGCTTTGGGAACATACAATGGAGAAGTACTCTTTTTCAGGTGCTTATCTTTGCATCCTTATCTTTGATCCTTGCACGAAAACCATCCCTTCTTTTTGTCTATGTTTCCGCTGTAAAGTATTTATTTTTGTTTTCCCTAAAAAATGTCGATTCTTGTTAGGGTGTCAGGATATATGATGCCAGACAAGTTAAAGATACCACGTCTCCGTGTGCGCAAGAATTGGTATGTGAATCTAAATTCAGTTCCAGTGGACCGGTTTCATCCAGATGTTCATGATGAACAACTTGTCATGGAAGCAAATAAGACAAAATCAATGGCTCGTAAGTGCATCTTATCCCTCAGATGATTAATTTGCGTCTTTTCCTGAAAATTATTGTTCACCTTTGTGGATGTTGATTTTATGGCTGAAAATAATATTATGAACCACATGAGATGAGGCAACTGATATCACAGTCCATTTGTTGTCCCTTTAGAAACAAATAAAAGCATTCCAGAGTTAAGCCATTCAACCGGGCCCACGATGAATCGAAGTGTGATTGAACTAAAAACTTCAGTTACCAAATCAACACAAAAGCTGAATGATTCAGATTTGGTGAAGAATAGTAAGGTAAACGACAGCAATGTTGTACCAGATATTGTCCTACCTACAAGCATGACCAACAATACTTCTACGAATCGTACTGGAATACTTGATGGTAAGAAAGGAACTGGGATCAGTAGACGACTTCTGAAAGGTGGTGACTCCAAACAATCTCAAGAAGATGGTTCTAGGTCCAAGGAAGACGGTAGTGGAGATGCTCATGTTGCCACCGTTGAAAGTGAAGAAGCTTTGGAAGCAGAGGCTGATTCATCATTTGAGATATTCCGTGAAAATGATGAGCTGGCTGATGATTACAGTCAAGAAGATGATGATTATAACAATGGATCCACGTGGGGAGATGAGGAGTGGACTGAAGTTAAGCATGAAAAAGTAGAGGAGTATGTGGATATTGACGCACATTTGTTGTGCACTCCTGTAAGTTGTTTAACTTTCGTACTTCAGATGAACATCTGTGCCATTCCCTACTATTTATATGACTCATTGTATTGTCTTTAAATGGTTCGTTAATTTTCACCAGGTCATAGCTGACATTGACAATGATGGAGTGTCTGAAATGATTGTAGCTGTTTCATACTTTTTTGATCATGAGTGAGTCCCCTGTGATGCTGTCTCTTGTCTTTGGTTTTTAATCGTAATGATTAAGTAAATGAGGGAAACCAAATCAACTCTTCTATGTTTTATTCGAAATTAGTTTCACGATGGTGTATATTCAAATGTACATACATGCACTTTTTGCAGTGTTCTTGGGGCATCGATTCTAATTTCTTGAAGCATCAATTGTTATTTTGGTATTGTGTGTCTAGGAAATTGATGACCTTCTTTGATAATAGGTACTATGACAACCCAGAGCACATGAAAGAATTGGGCGATATTGATATTGGGAAATATGTAGCTGGTGCCATTGTTGTTTTCGATCTGGATTCGAAGCAAGTGAAGTGGATAACTGAACTAGACTTGAGCATAGATTCTGCAAAATTTCTTGCTTATATATATTCCTCCCCTACTGTCATTGATTTGGATGGTGATGGGAATTTGGATATTCTTGTTGGAACTTCTTTTGGCTTGTTCTACATCTTGGATCATCATGGTAATCTGATTCTGAATACTGATTTTCTTGTTGTCTGATTCTGAATGCTGATTTTCTTGTTCTTTATGTGTCTGCTCTTAATATGCTTCTATTGCATATAAAATTGGGCAATATATTGATCTTTTTTTTATTAAATTTTCCTTTTTTGGGATTTTATACTCTTGCAAATTGGAAAAGATGTAAATGAATATCTTATCCTCAAAATATTGCGTAGGTTTATTCTAAAGTAGCTTATGGCTGTTTCATCTCAACTTTGAATTATCTTTCTGATGCTTACACTTTTTTGCCCGATAAATGGGGAATAGTTACTTGATTTGGGATCTTGTGCAAGCATTCTTTCTTTGAGCCGTGTGCTCTTTGTTATTACTGCTCAATCTTCTTCTTCTTCTTCCTTCTGTTTAGGAGATAGCACTTACCTCTGAAATACTATACTGATGGTTCGGTTCATTCTTTTTGTTATGGGCCCCTGATTTTGCTGATTTCTTCTCTCTTAGTTTTCAATGATTAAATTTGTTCACTCATTCTTGACATTGAAATTCTTTTGCGTGTAATCGTTCTTCCTAGTTTCCTGAAATTTGAATCTTGATTTTTATTGTGTACAGGCAAGGTGAGAGAAAACTTTCCTCTTCAAATGGCTGATATTACGGGAGCAGTTGTTGCAGCTGATATCAATGATGATGGAAAAATTGAACTTGTGGCTACGGATTCACATGGAAATGTTGCTGCCTGGACTGCTCAAGGTCAAGAAATTTGGGAAAAGAATCTAAAAAGCCTCATACCACAGGTGAGAACCACCTTTGGTTTCTTGTTCGCTACTCTCTGCATGTAAGGTTGTCCATGTCAAGCTGATGGTGCCACATTCATGCATGACTTAACTTAAATTACACATTCATCCTAGAGATCTCTGTTTGCTACGAAGTATCTGATATGTTCTTGTGTAGGATAACATTTATCATAGTTTTGATGCGTAAAATTGTGTTCTTAGGGTCCATCCATTGGCGATGTCGATGGGGACGGCGATACTGATGTGGTGGTGCCAACAGTATCAGGAAATATATATGTTCTAAGTGGCAAGGACGGGTCATTTGTTCGTCCATACCCCTATAGAACCCATGGAAGAGTAACGAATCAAATTCTTCTCGTTGATCTGAACAAACGTGATGACAAAAAGAAGGGACTTACTTTAATCACATCATCATTTGATGGGTATCTATATCTCATTGATGGACCTACATCGTGTGCTGATGTTATCGACATCGGCGAGACTTCGTAAGATGTTCTCTATAATCATTTGGCATTGTAAACATCTAAATGTTCACTCTCTATGCTTTCTTCCATTGCAGATATAGTATGGTTCTTGCTGATAATGTTGATGGTGGAGACGATCTTGATCTTATTGTCACAACCATGAATGGAAATGTTTTCTGCTTTTCAACCCCTTCTCCTCATCATCCACTCAAGGTATTATGATGATCTGAACCTTGCTTTGCTCAAGTCTTCATAGACTGAATATTGCATCTTTTTATTTAGACATGGAGATCAGCTAATCAAGGAAGAAACAATGTTGCAGTCCGGCACAACCGTGAAGGCATTTTCGTTTCGCATTCGTCTAGAACATACCGTGACGAGGAAGGCAAGAACTTCTGGATGGAGATCGAGATTGTAGACCGTTACAGAAACCCATCTGGGACTCAAGCACCATATAACGTTACCGTAAATCACTCCGAACCTCCATGGTTTTGTTTCATAGATTAGTAGATGTTGATATGAACATTGTGTTACAACTTACTTGCAGACAACCTTGATGGTTCCTGGCAATTACCAGGGAGAGAGGAGGATAAAACAGAACCAGATGTTCAAAGAACCGGGCAAGCATCGGATTGAACTGCCGACAGTGAGTGCAAGGACCACAGCCACTGTTTTGGTGGAGATGGTTGACAAGAATGGACTCTATTTTTCAGATGAGTTCTCCCTCACATTCCATGTGTATTATTACAAGTTCCTGAAGTGGCTTCTTGTCCTCCCAATGCTTGCAATGTTTGGTGTGCTCATGATCCTTCGTCCGCAAGAGCCCATGCCATTGCCATCATTTTCACGGAACACTAACCTATGATCATAGCCCCTCATGAAATGCGGAGGCATATGATCCGAGAGCTGGACGATGCCAAAATTTTTGTTGATCTAATCTATCGACTCGTTGAACCCGAGTCGAATTGAATTTTTTGATGATGGAGTAATGGAGTTTCTTATGAACGTCTATCTAGAAGGTAGACAAACGGAAAATGTCACAAGATCGTGTCGTTTTCAAGATCGAAGGAATGAAGTAGTATTTATATACAATTTAAGGTATGTTTCATTTTAGTCACTAATCATCATTCTTAAACTAAAAATAAAAAAATCATTTTGATACCTACTAATTACTTACGAAATATTTGTATATGATACACGCTTAAGTTAGTATATCAATATACATATTTGAAATCTCAATACGTTAAAAACAAATAAATTTAATAATAAATTAAGCGATCGAAATAGTAATTTTCTTAAAAAATTAGAGACTAGAATAAGTATTTTAGTTTCGTTTTTATTTAACAATTAATGGAAGTCTAAAGATTAAAGGGTTGATATTTAAAATAGAAGCTTAAAATTTTAAACTACAATAGAATTGTGTTTTAAAAAAATAACACTTAAAAAAAGGAAAGAATTATTAAAAGAAAAAAAAGAATGGTGTTGCATACAAAATATTATCACACAATAAAGTATGTTCAGCAATTTTAATTTTAATTTTAGATAATAAAATAATTTTAATGAAGTTATAAACAATTAAATTATAATAAAAGTAAAAAATTAATTATAAATGTCGTATTTTAAAATTAAATATAATTAGTTTATTTCACTCCTTCCAACTCTTTTATAAATCATTTTCAAATGATGGATAGATATTAAAAAAATTAAAACAAAAAACCCAAAAACACAAAAACACAAATAATTTAAAAAAGAAAATAAATTAAAAGAGTTATTAAAAAAACAATAATAAACATAAATAATCAAAAAAATTATAAAAAAAAATAAAAAGAAGAATTAAAGAATGAAATAAATTCAAAAAATTAAATAGTTGGAGAAAAAATAATACGAAATAAATCTTCTAAAAAATTATTAAAAAAAAAAAAAAAAAGAAATGATGTTGAATCTTAAAAAATGAAAATAAAAGAAGAAATTTAAATTCTCAGAATCCGTTGGAGATTCAAACATTTAAATATCCGATAGAAAGTTGTTTTTTCCATAAAAGGAAAAACCCTATTAAGAAGTGGGACCCACTAGTCCACGTATATTCCAAATTATCGTGTATTATTTTGATAATATTATTTTTTAATTTGTCAAAATTTCCCGCCGTTCGTCCATCCATTAGCAGTCCGGAATCTTTGCCCAAATTTCATCTTCATAAACGTTACTCTCTGCAAGAATCTCCATCCCATTTTCGAAGCAGATCGTTCGCTAAGCAACTCTTCTTCTCTTCTTTTTGATATGAAACCAAATCGCAAGCTCAAGAAAGCTGATTCATCTTCGAAGGTAACAATCTGTTCTCTGTGAAACGCCATTAGTTTCAATCCTTCACTATCACCATTCATCTTTGTTTCCTTTTGATGTTTCTGGCAGCTTGTATTGGAGGAAATTATCGGTACCACAACAAAGAACAACAATGGATTGGCTTCCAATGTAAATTCTCCGAACTGCGTCTATTTGACCGGATGCGTTGTGGTGGTTCATAATGTTCACTCTGGTACGCAATCGCACCTCGTGGTGCCTCATCGGTTGTGCAAACCTCTGAGCTGTGTTGCAATGTCTCTGGATGGCCGCTTTGTTGCTGCTGGAGAGGTGGTTTTTTTTTTTTTTTCCTTTTTGACCGTTTGTTTTTGTGGTTTTACGAGCTGAACTCGACATGATTGTTGAGACAATGTTGATGTGAGATATAGTATATTTAGGTTTGTACAGACAAATTGCATGGTGTATTAATTTATTCGAGTGATTAGTTCTGCTTACCCAAATCGTTTTTCCTGTTTTTAGAATTTCAATGTATCTATACACGATAGTGTTGAACACTGTCATAAGTCCTATTCTCTAGGACCAAGACCTATTCTCAAGGTCTTTTTTTGGCTTGTTAGTTTATCTTTAGGTTTAGCAGAAGGCTATATAATGCCATTCTTTCTGCTGTTGAAATCATTAACTTTTTGAGTGTCATATTGTATGTCTTGAGTAACTTTGGTGTTGTGAGTACATTTGTTCCGCTTTCGGCGCTCAACAAGTGGTATCAGAGCCTTATTGTGGTATTTGGGGGTATTGTGAAAGTTTGGGCCTCATCGACCATTAGACGTGCTCACAATCGTGTTTATTCTCTTGGAAATCAGTTTTCAAGAATTGTGTTTTTGAGTTACATCCAGATTAATTATTGCAAATGGCCGAACCATCACGACGTGGATCGAGAGTGTGGAGTTCCAATCTCGAAGTAGAAAAATTTGATGGAACCAATAATTTTGGTGTTTGGCGAGGCGAAGTTAGCGATTTGCTGGTCATGCAAGACCTCGATGTTTCTCTCCAAGAGGAGATGCCTGAAGACATGACAGAAGCAGAATGGACAAAATTAAATCGGCAAGCCTGTGGAATTATTCGATCCTGTCTTGGCAAGGATCAGAAATATCCATTTATGAAGGTTACCATGGCGAAAGAATTATGGGACAAGCTTGAAGCGAAATATATGAAGAAGAGTGTGGAAAATAAACTCTATTTGAAGAAGAAACTCTTCCGTTTTGACTACAAGGAAGGTATCTCAATGGCTGAGCATTTGGATGATTTTAACAAAATCATCACTGATTTGCTCAATCTTGATGTTAAGATTGATGACGAGGACAAGGCGTTGTTGTTATTAAACTCTTTGCCGGAATCCTACGAGTTTTTAGTAACAACCCTACTACATGGAATCACTAATATTGATTTTGAAGATGTTTCAAATGCCTTAATAAACAATGAGATGCGAAAGAAGGAAAAGGAGACGTATCAAAGCTCTAGCTCAAATGTTCTCACTGCTCATGGAAGAACTTCTACCTGGAAAAGGAACGAATGTGGAGAGTCTCGATTAAAGTCGAGAGGTAGATCTGATAATTGGAGAAAACTTGATAAAAATGAGTGTGCATATTGTCGACAGAAAGGCCATTGGAAAAAAGATTGTTCGATCTTAAAAGAGAAGGGGTCGAAGTCCAATGTGGTTAAAGATGACGACACTGATACAGATGATGCCTTGACAATCTCCCTATCAGCCAGCCAAACCATTGAATGGATTCTTGATTCTGGGTGCTCCTATCATATGTGTCCCAACAAAGAGATGTTTTTGGACTTCAAAAAGTTCAATGGTGGAGTTGTCTATATGGGCAATGATAGTACTTGCAAGATAATGGGAATCGGCTCAGTACAAATCAAGATGTTTGATGGGGTTATACGAAAACTCAAAGATGTGAGGTATGTTCCTGACTTGAAGAAAAACTTGATTTCACTTGGCGTTTTGGATGCGAGTGGTTATCGCATCATTTTGGAAGGAGGGAATTTGAAAGTAGCTCGTGGAGCTTTGGTGGCAATTACAGGAACTAGAAGAGGTAGCATATACTACCTCAACGGAACCACAATAATTGGGCATGCTGCTATGGCAAGTTCGAAAGAACAAGACATATCGAAATTATGGCACATGCGACTCGGGCATGCTGGTGAGAAGGCGCTTCAGACATTGGTGAACCAAGGAGTCCTTAAGGGTGCCACAACTGAAAAAATTGATTTCTGTGAACATTGTATATTTGGTAAACAAAAAAATGTGAAGTTTGGTACAGCTATACACCAAACAAAGGGTATTTTGGATTATGTTCACACCGATGTATGGGGTCCCACAAAGAATGTCTCATTGGGAGGAAAGAGGTGGTTTGTCACCTTTATTGATGACTACTCGAAGAGAGTTTGGATGTATCCCATGAGGCACAAAAACGAGGTTCTCCAAATCTTCCTAGAGTGGAAGAAAATGGTAGAGAATCAGACGGATAGGAAAATCAAAAAGCTGAGATCAGACAACGGGGGAGAATATACTTATGATCCATTCCTTAAAATATGCCGAGATGAAGGGATCGTTCGACACTTCACTGTTCCTGGTAAGCCACAACAAAATGGAGTTGCTGAGAGAATGAACCAGACATTAATAGAGAAGGTTCGATGCATATTGTCTCAAGCAGGATTGAGTAAGGCATTTTGGGCTGAGGCTCTCAGTTATGCAGTTCACTTGGTGAATCGTTTACCTGTTTCTGGAAACGGTGGGAGAACTCCGCTTGAGGTATGGTCAGGTAGTCCTGTTAGTGATTATGATAAATTGCATGTGTTTGGGTGTCCTGCTTATTATCATGTGACAAACTCAAAATTGGATCCTAGAGCAAAAAAAGCCAAGTTTATGGGCTTTAGCAAAGGTGTGAAGGGCTATAGGTTATGGTGTCCAGAAACAAGTAAAATTGTTAATAGTCGAGATGTGACATTCGATGAGTCTGGAATGTTTTTGCAGAAAATTGAAAATAATGACGAGGCATTGAAGCAGGTGGAGAAGGTGGTGTTCTCTCCTGATGTGGTTGCTCCTACCGAAGAACCTATTGATCAGGTAAATAATAACTTTGATGTCTTAGAACAAAAAGAGCAAAGTCTTGAGGAGCAAAGCCTTGTGAATGAAAGAGTGGAGGAACCTGAGTCAATCGCCAAGAATAGACCACGAAGGGTAATTCGAAAACCTGCAAGGTTTGATGATACGATAGCATATGCTTTCTCTTTGATTGATGGAGCTCCTAACAGCTACAAAGATGCTATTCAGAGCCCGGATAGCTTACACTGGCAAGAGGCTGTGAATCAGGAGATAGCATCATTGGAGATAAATCAAACTTGGGATTTGGTACAACTTCCAAAAGGTAAGAAGGAAATTGGTTGTAAATGGGTTTTTGCAAAAAAGGAAGACTCTTCTGGTATACGTTATAAGGCTCGACTTGTGGCTAAAGATTACGCACCAAAGGAAGGTATTGATTACAATGAAATTTTCTCACCTGTGGTAAAGCATTCTTCCATTCGAATTTTGTTGGCTTTGGTTGCTCAATTTAATCTTGAGCTTGCACAACTTGATGTAAAAACTGCTTTTTTGCATGGAGATTTGGAAGAAGAAATATATATGGCGCAACCAGTTGGTTTCCAAGTAGTTGGACAGCAACATTTAGTATGCAGATTGAAGAAATCTTTGTATGGGCT